TATATATATATATATGTGTGTGTGTGTGTATATATATATATATNTATGTATATATATATATATATATATATATATATATATATATATATATATATATATTGTCATTATTATTACTATTATATTTATGGTTTTTATTGGGATTATGATTATTATTATCATATCATCATCATAAGAATCGCCTGTGTCATTCGGCTGATGCGTTTTGTATCTCCTCCTATCCACAGCGTCCACAGTGCCGAGAGCCTTGACACCAATCTGGTCGATGATGCGGAACCAACCGCTGGTACGGCCCTTTCGTTTGCTGTGGGACTTATGAGATGTATAGTTGGGGGTGTCCTGTCCTTTCTTCTCTGATGCACCTGTTTTGGTTTTTTTTTGGGCTGTTAAATCCCCATGTGCGCATTTGATACTTGTAGCACTGGCGACACCTCTGACACGACACTGTTCGTGTGCGTGTCATTATCTGCCTTGTTGACACGGGTGTCACTCCTAGCAGTGGTCACAACTACTGACATGTTGTTGTTATGTATCAGCTTATGGCGTATGTGTTGAATGGAGATGTGTCAGTGTATGTGTATTGGAATGTGCTTGTGTGTGGAATGGAGGTGTGTCAGTGTGTTTGGTTAAGCTTGGCTGTCAACTCTCTCTCCAGTGATGTGCGGGTGTTTTGCTGAGTGTGTACTGTGGTGGGGTTGTTTTACGGCTTCTGATGCTGTCGAGTGTGCCTTCCATTAGTGTTTAATGCTTAGGGTTTAAGGTTTAGGGCTTAAGGTTTAAAGTTAAAGATTTATTGTCTTATGTTTAGGGCTTAAGCTTTAGAGTTTAAGGTTAAGTGTCTTAGGTTTAGGGTCTATGGTTTGAGTTTATGGTTGAGGGTTTATGGTTTAGGGTCTTAGGGTTAGGGTTTAGGGCTCTGTCGCCTATCTGAAGATGAGTGTTCGACTGCCACCGCACGTGCAAACAGTTTCTCACTCTGTTGCTCCGAAAGAGAACGGTGCAGTGCGAGGCATGTTTATTATGTCCAACTTATTTAAAAGTTGAATCCGTGCCACACAACTCACAAAACGTTTATTAGATCGTGCAAGTGCACAAATATGCAACCACATGCTTTTAGGGTTTTAGGGTTTGGGTTTTATATGCTTTGGGGGCCTTCTGAACCCCTACAACCCTAAACGTTTGTAGGAAGACTGTGGTTCCATGCCGTTCCCATTCCCATGTTCTATCTATAGACCAGCATTCAATTTTTATAACATATTTTATAACATTCTATTATTATAACATTCTATTTTTATAACATTATATTTATATATCATCCTATTTTTATAACATTCTATTTATATTGTCATACCACAGCGCGTACGCAACGGTCGCCAAGCAGTCGCACGAAATTGTTTGGGGCACATAGTGAGACTACTCTCAATCGAACAGGACAACTACACTACTCACCAGCACACCACAGGTACACTCACCCACACTCACGTGTGTTGGTGTGTGGCAGATACATTTGTGTCTGCGTTAGTGTGTGATAGGTGCTTTAGTGTTGATGTTCACGTGTAGGATGTACATTTATATTTATGTATGGTGTGTGTATTTATGTTTATGATGGTATGTTCATTTATGATTCTATTTATTATATATTTTATGTACATTTTTTATTATATTTATGTATGCAATGTACATTTAGGATTTTGTTTATTTATGTTATGTACGTTTACGGTTGTATTTGTGTATGTTTTGTACATTTATGATTCTATTTATGTATGTTGTGTACAGTTATGATATTTATGGTTGTTTTTAGGGTTTTTGATCTATTTATATATGATATATACATTTATTTTTCTTATTTATGTGTATTTATATTAATGTACAGTATGCGCGTTTTATGTCGCTTTTGATATGCGCCTAAGTTAATATTTTATCTAAGGTATGTGGTTTTATTTTGATGTAGGGTATGTGGTTTCATCTTGATGTATGGTATGTGGTTTTATGTTGATGTAGGGTATGTGGTACTATGTTGATGTAGGGTATGTGGTTGTATGTTGATGTAGGGTATCTGGTTTCATGTTGATATATGGTATGTGGATTTATGTTGATGTAGGGCATGTGGTTTTATTTGATGTATGGTATGTGGTTTTATTTTGATGTTTGGTATGTGGTTTCATGTTGATATAGGGTATGTGGTTTCATGTTGATGTAGGGTATGTGGTTTTATGTTGATGTATGGTATGTGGTTTTTTTATGTTGATGTATGGTATGTGGTTTTATGTTGATGTATGGTATGTAGGGTTTATGTTGATGTATGGTATGTGGTTTATGTTGATGTATGGCATGTCTATTCATTTCTATGTATCCAATGTATATCATATGTATATTTGTTAATTTATAGGATGCATAGTTAAGTTTCTCTATATCATACATGTTTTAGAGCATATATGTTCATTTTTGTCTATAGCATTTATATTTATGTTCATGTTTCTTTATAGCATGTATGTTTGTGTCGATGTATGGTATGTACGATTGTCATATACTCGTGTACTTGTCCTCACACTCCTGTACAGGCGAGTCTATGAATCAGTTCATGTAGATATCATAGTAACGCTGTGGATGATAGCAAGAGGCGATAAACCCTTTCTTACTCATACATACTCACATACATATGCACACATTCTCATTTCCTACACACTCACATACATATGCACACTCTAATTAACCTACACACTCACATGCATATGCACACACTCATTCACCTATACACTCACATACATATGCACACACTCTCATTTACCTATAGACGAGCATATCAGCAAAATCGCATTGGCGGCAAAGGGACGCTGTCGGTTTTTCTGAGTGGCGACAACTCAGCCAATGGCGTCAGAGAACACAAAGACGACCGCACGCTGCAATCACGATGGCGCAACAAGGACAAGCTAGCACGCAAGCTCAGCCACAGGTGTGTGTTAGTCATGTTCATTAGTGAACCCTCCACCCCAAGTCCTGGATTTCCAAACTAACATGTACATATACTTGTACTGTTACTCATGATTACCTATGTATGTATATGTATATATATATATATATATATGTATATATATAAATATATATATATATATATATGTGTGTGTGTGTGTGTGTGTGTGTGTGCGTGTATATATGTGTGTATATGTATGTATATATATGTATATATATATAGACAAATATATATATGTACTCTGACAGG